GCAGCGAGGAGACCCGCGGCGAACTCGAGGACGCTTTGCCTTGGCAGCTGCATCAAGGCACATGGAATGGTCCCAAAGGCCTACAAAGCAAGGGCCGAAGAGGAGATGAGCAGGCTCGGAGAGCGCATCCGCCAGAGCCCTACAGAGGCGCTCTCTTTTGTACGTTTTGGACATGTCTACTACAAGCACTTCAGCCGTTGCTTGGCAGCCTGGCTTTCCGTAGCCGCTGTCACAGCTAAGGAGCAGCCGCTGATGGCGACATGCAGTTGCGGCAAGAGCTCCAACACAGCGAGCAATGCCGGCAGGAGCTGCAGGCCAGGAAAGTGACATGCAAGATCCGGAACAATCACAGCGTTGCACCCTCAAGTGCCGTTGTTCGTGCTGGCTGGTGGCTGCAGCAGGGGAGAGCCATGTTTAATTGGGGTGTCTTGTCCAGGGTGGCTTTCAGTGTTTGTGGTTATTTTAGACTTTCTGGAATCTGCAAATTTAGGTTTTAGTTTTTCCAGCGTTATTTTGGTTTTCCTTGTCCTTTTTGTGATCTCCAGCTTTTTGATGGATTCCAGGTTTCTGCATATTTGGGGTTTGTAGGGGTCATTGTTCTTTTCAAGTTCGAAAGGTTCTCAGCATTTGGGGTGCTTAGGCTTAGGGTTTAAGAATGGTTTAAGAATCTTGCTCTGTAGCTGTGTGGGATAAAGGTTGTGCGATTTTCGAGTTCTTGGGTTTTAGGGTCGTGGGGGCTTAGACCTTTCAGTGTTCACGGGTTTCAGGGTTTCTCTGCTACAGGGTTTTAGTCTTCATGATGCGTGGCATGCATCTTACGTTCACAGTTTCACTTTTTGAGTTGTTGGTGTTACTTGTGTAGGATTTTGGGGGTTCCTTTCTTTTTCTGCAACTCGCTCGCGATTCGATTTCCACCGGACCCTTTTCGACTTGACGTCTTTTGTTCTCCGACTCAACCCCATGGACTGCCCAAATTCAAGTTTGCCGACTAAGACCCTGACCCCTACAGCATGCTTGGAACCTTGCGCAGAAACATTCCGGCAATACGCTCCACCCAACATCGCAGCGCGTAGAGCACCCTGAGGGCATGCAACACCCAAATCCTGTTGAGTTTACTCTGTTTGTTAGCACGTGACAGCGCCGTGACCTGATGCTGTAGGGACTAGAGGAGCAGCAGCAGCGGCAGCAGCATCAGCTGCTGCCACTGCTGCTGCAGCCGCCTGCTGCTGCAGCCGCCTGCTGTGGCTGCCGCCTGCTGTGGCTGCTGCGACTACTTCTACTGCTTTTCCTACCGCTAGCGCCATTGCAATTGCAAAAACTAAACAACGACGACGACCAGGATCAGCGGTTGGCCCAAACATACTTGCCCACATCCAAGGGTTTGGGCTTAATAAAAGGTTTTGGCACTTCAAGACTCTAGGGTTCGGTGATACTTTTTTGTTTAAATGAATTTTGGATCAAGTTTTTTTGGGTGGTTTGCAGCTGGCAGACTTTCAGGCTTGGTGTTTTTTTAGGGTTGCAGCCTGCAGGGCTGGAGCATTTTACTCTTTCATCTTTTACGGGGGCATGGTTGTTGGGCTTGGGGTTCAGAACCTTTGGGGGCAGGCTTTGCTTTTTTGTTTGGACCCGTGGTTTTGACTGTTAGGCTAGAAGGGCTTGGAGTTTGTAGCCTTGCTTTTCTGAAGCCAAAGCAGTGGTATAGGAGGGTGCGATTCGTTTTGGGAGGTTTTGGGCTTATTAATGGCGGTGCTGGGGTTGTGAGGTTGTAGGCTTTAGACTGGCCTTGGTACGTTAAGATTTGTTGTTTTGAAGTGTGGCGTCAGCTTGTGGGGTTTGTGCTTTTCACGCTTTGGATGCCCAGGCTCCTGCTTTGGTTTGTAGTGTACGTCTACAGTTTGCTGTATAGGTTTGGACTTAGTTAGGTGCATAGATTGTAGAGTGGGTTCAGGGGCTCCAAGCCCTAAACCCTCAAAACTCCATAGCCCATGGCTTCAAGGCTTGATGAAAAGTAAGTGCCTTATAAGTGCTAACGGTTAGTTTGCGGCTTTCAGGATTTGGAGAGTCTTTTTTCTTTCGGGCTGCAGAGCTTTGAGTACAGGGTTTGTTTGGGTTGACAGCTTTGAACCTCAAGGAGTCATCTCTACCCTTGGTGAGGAGCGTGACAGCATAGCTAGCCAATCCCGAGGCACATAACGCTCCGAAAAGAGCCTTTTACTTATATGGTCTTGTTCAAACTAGGCTTTAGGACGCGTGTCCCAAGAGTGTTTGAATGTTACTATCATGCGGGACCAACCTACATTTCGTGGATTGGAGAGCTGCCGCAGCAAGTGCTGTTCTGTCCGCAGCTTGTCACCGTTCACATGGTGGCAGGCAGGGCAAAAAGTTGTTGCACTGGGATTGGGGAGTCCGGATAGAAGGCATGCATGCTGAAGAAAGTATTTGACCGGCGAAGGGCTGCGGCCGGAAAATAGTTCGGTCAGCTACCTAGTTGCACATGCCAAGTTCGAAGAAGTAAGGCTCTGCTCAAAGATCTGAAGATCTTTAAGCTGCCAGTGAAATTCGCACTTGCCGTTGCTCTTCTTGGTGGTCTGCCCTGACCATGAGCTGATGTATCTCACAATCGGATGTTACATAGGTGCCTTGCATCTGGAACCCTGATAATTTAACCGCTGCGAGACCGCCTCGGCAAAGGTTGCCGAGGGGTGAGAGCACAGAGGGGCAGCCGGCGCTGCCCCCTTACCTGCCCCGGCCTAAACCTCCCAGGCCCCCCGGGCCCTCGTCCCGCAGGGCCACCCCACGAAATTCGTGTTTTTGGCCGGGAGCCTGGACCCCGCCTTACCGCCTAGAAACCCGAAAAAAACGAGCCGATGGCACCCCTCCCTGAAAAGGGGTAGGGGGTGAGGTAACTTACTCTTCCAACGGCCCTGGATCTAAACGCCCCAGCCTCCGGCCTCGGCAGTTTTTCCGGTGGTATGTTTCTGGACGTGGAACATCAATCCCATTTGCATGAGAAGATGGAAACATCTGCTCAATACTCGCAACCTGCCCGGGCCAGCAGATGTGTTTGGATTGCTCGTGCGTTAGTCTGCACTGACAGGAGCGGGTGGTCGAGCTTTCAGGCCAGGGACACTAGTTCGTCATACCCTGATAATGACTGCGTTTGTCCTTCCGTTTCTGCCTGCATTGTTAACACTCAAAGACCATCATTCCCTGCCTGTGGAGGCCAGTTGGAACATGCGCAGCAAGCATACAGACTCCTGGTGCCAAATTGAGCCATCTTTTCTTGGACCATGTCAAGTGCATTCTGGTTCTTGCAGAGACTCCCCATCCGTTTGTTGGCTGACCAGACCAACCCAGGTGAGGCTGCGCGAGAGGTGCAGCAGTTTCTGGTTCGCAGTACTTGACTTGCCGAGCTTTCCTTGCCACTTGCAGCAGGTGGGCGCAATGTCTCTTCGGCTGAACGAGACGCTCGGCTATCAAGCTTGGGAAATGGAATGGTGAGACATGTCGTTGCAGCACCGCGTGCGGTCTTGCTGCCTGCTGTATGACTCTATGCTCTTCGAGGCTTGAGTTCAGTCAGAAAGATGACATCCACTCAGAGGTATTTCTGGCTCCCAGAGTGCAAGGCCTGAACGTAAAGGACAGGTGATGCAACTCGCCAGGATGTTCTTCGGCATGAGCTTTCTTCTGCAAAAGAGCGCCTCTCTGAGTCAGGGCCTCGGTGACCTGCGACCTTTCCGCATGTTCTTTTTGATTGCAATGGAAATGTGTCCAGGATGGAAGACCGTCTCAAAGAGTGCCGCGCTTGCATCATCTCTACTAATGTGTGGTCACAAATTCGTGGCCGCGCGGAATAATCCATTCTGCATGTACTCCAGTGTCGAGAAGCCCTAACAGCAGTTTTGTGGCTGGGCTGCAACAGCCACAGGTGCACGTGGATGAGGGACCATGCCCTCAAGCAGGCAGAGGAGGCTGGAACTGCTTAATTTGCTTATGCATCTTCTCAACTTCACGGGGTACGGCCAGGTCAGAGTCAAGTTGCAAGCGGTGGAGGAGGCTCGTAGATTACGGCGTCGCAAGGATATCTCTGGAGCTTGCATGGGCTGTCAACAGGCAAAGGCCCAGGCTGGCACAGAGGAGGCCATCAGCCGCTGTGATTCATGTCGCACGTTGCGGAAGATATCCCTGGAAAGGCTGGTGATCGTGGCCAGGCCACATCGTAGAGTTGCCTTGTCGACCGGTCTCTCATGCTGCCCACAGCTAGCAATGACAGGAAGCACAGGCGGCGCTGCAGACAGCGCAAGAGGAGGCATTTCCAAAGCTCAGTCTTCAGCCAACGAAAGTTTGCTGACCCCAGCTGGCCAGGTGGAAGCGCTGCCAGGGTTCTCAGATGTCCTTTGCAGAAGTGCTCCTCTCAACATGTCACCTTAGGCAGCAGCAGTTGCAGAAGTTTGTGGAGCAGCACAAGAAGGAGTTGCAAGAGCAGGCAGGACCATAAGGATTATGGGTCCTTACCAAGTTGGTCCACCTTCCAAGGCAGAGATTTCTCGCGAAGAGATCGATTACTTGAAGCGCAAGAATGACGCAGCCCAGCAGCATGTCATGGCTAACTGCAAGTCATTGCTCGGGGCTGTTTTCGATTGATGAGGCTTCTTGTCAGTTTTGCTGATTGTCCGTTCCGAAGGAGAAAGAGAAGCGACTTGAGGTGGCGTGTGTCCACGTTTAACAGATGTTAGCTGTTTCTTCCTGCATTTCCTGCCGCAGTGCGCACTCAAATATGTCAGATCCTGACATGCGAGCGGAATGCCCTCCGCTACGAAAGTGCAGAGGCAGGGGACATTTGCTCCCTTCCTGGATATGGATGGACGTCGAAAAGACAGGCAACTTCCAGCAAGCCGGGGCGTGTCGCTCCAAAGACCGAAGCTTCCGAGAAGGTGAGCGTGTTGACCCGATTTGCTTCGTGTAGACTGAAAAAGCAAAGCACCCTGGGCTGGCAGCAACTGGTCGATTTGGAAGATGGCTTGTCACTCAAGGAGGTTCTGTCTGGAAAGGAGCCAGGCCCATGCGTCCTTTCAAAGCTGAGCACCTGAAATATTGGGCAATCCCACACCGCAGCAGGTGCTGGTGGTGCTGTGAAGGCTGTGGATTTGAAAGCCAATTGGTCACGCTCAATCTTTGACCTTGGATTTGCAGGCTTTCTTTGCTGATGGTGATCTGGTTCTGAAGCGCTTCAGCAAGTCGGGATTCCTAGTAAGCAAGGCTGTCTGACTGTAAGTTGGAATGCTGATTGTTGCATGAATTATGTACATGTCAGATAGGCATGATGAACTGCCAGCCCAGATCTAGCACAGTTCAGCTGTTCCTTGTCACGAGGCTGCTGTTCGCAAGTCCAACGACCCGCCGGATTTTCTACGGTCTGCCACTCTTCAGTCCTGCTTTGAATAAGCCCTGCATTTGTTGAAATTGGGACGAGGCTATGTTCTCCTTTTGCACATATGGATTTGGGTGGTGCTTCATCGCGCTGCCGCAGTCCACTCCGCCCATACCATCGCGAAACCAACCGCTCCTAACCCATCGTAAAAACATTGAGAAGCTCATACAGAGATATACATTAGAACTAGGAAATCAAAAGATATTGGAAATTGGAATCCTCGAATTGATTTTGAATCTGATCTGAATTAAGATAAATAAAATTATGTTTATTTCCCTTGATTAATCCTTGATCAAATCCTGGATTCAATTGGATCCTGAATCCCCGAAATTATTTCTACCATTTAGATTATTATGCTGAATTTATGATACGTGATAATGAAGAGCTGATGATCTGAGGGAGCCTTCTTGCTCTTTCATTTATTCTGTCAAACGACGCGGACACCCTCCGTAATCAATTTTGCGCGCGGAGCATACTCGGACGAAACCCTGAAAATGCCGAGAATTTTGATTCCAAGCTATCCGCGGATCCATTTACTTTTTCTCGTGTTCTCCGAACTTGGACGAAAGCAATAAATTCTCATGATTTTGAGGGTTTCGTCTGGCGCCAAGATGATAGATGAAATATCTGAAATTCTGAAGACTTTGAAGATTGGGTCTCATACGAAATCCTGAGAATTTTGCGGATTTCTACGTTTTATCCGATCGGAAATTCTTTGAATTTTTGGAATTTCGTCTGATCGTGGCGCGGGCAAAACCATGTAATTCTTGAGAATTTATATATTTCGTTTGATGGGATATTCTTTGGAATTTGAAGGTTTCGTCTCTTGAGTTAAAATGTGGTCATTCTTGAGATTGCCATTTCGAATGTAGAATCGCCCTCGCGAGCTTCGAAATCGCGAATTTTCATACGTTTGTAGATTTAGCATTTTATAAATGCAACAACCGAATAGGTTTGGAAAGGGGGGGGGGGTCCGGGACCGCTTTTCCCAAAAACCGGATATTTTGGAAGATCGGTCCCGATTTAACGTGAAGCCGCTAAAATCTCCGTAGAAATAATCTGTTGGCCGACTATATTTCAACTGCATTTTGCTAGCTTGGCGTGAAAATATATATATATATGAATATGGATAT